CACGCTAGTTTCAACTTCAAACATCGCAAATTCTATCGGTATGAATATAAAATAACCCGAAACAGCACTTTCTTATTCTTCAAGGTATCATCTATGCATCCGAGTACATGCATAAAATTTTCCACGAGCTACACATGCAAATATCCCCGCATATCGTTAGCATATTTTATTAATTTATTTGATGCTTTCACCCTTGAAACTCCTTGAAACGCGAAATACCGGTACCCTTTTACTCTTCTGGCCACCTTTTATTACTCCAATAATGTACCTTTGTCCCCCATAACCGAAATTCATTCGCGTGTGACCCATTCCTTTCTTAAATATTTAATTAAACCGGACCGTCGTGGGAGCTAAATTTTTCGCGATTTACAGTAACCCCATAAACGTGTCCTTAAGTTAACGCCATGGGAATTGGGGCGACGTTTCCGGACGTTTTCGCGTTACATCCGTCCCCTGTCCAGCTGCTGGATCTTAAACGATCGTCACGATGGAACACGAAATTAACAAGGGAAACGGAATTCAGACGTAGCCCGGTTTCGGATTATCCTTCCACTCGTCCATACGGGCACGCGTGCTAATTTACGATTCTCTGGGTGATGGGTAAATTACCTACAGCATTCGCCGCCATAAATCTTCGCGGCTTAATGAAACTTTCACCGCGTTTAATTACTCGCCGAAATTTTCTTTCGGCCAGAGGATCGTGTCCGATTTCGTTCATTTCTGTTGAAAACAGCGTGATAAAGCAAAACGAGTTGAATCCTCTTCCTCTTCGTCACCAGGTACCATTCTCTTTTCCTTTTGCTATATTTTCCCGTATTTTTCTATACTTTCCCGCGTCTCTTCCTTTTTCTCCGTCCATTTGAAGCTGCACGTAACACGGAAATGAATATATTTCTCTCCCACCGGGCTTTTTTCTCGCCCCGGCTTACTCCTTCGTTACCCTCGCCTCTTTTTCGCTGGCGAGGAACCGGTTTTCCGGTTTCTCGCCGTGAATTTCGTTCAAGATCGTAAACACTGCCGCACCGCCGACATTTTTTACCATTTCGAAAGGTTTTTCAAATCGTTCCCCGCACTCGGTCGGGTCTTTGACGTTGCATTAGCCGCGCCGTTTCTATGAGAACTTTCTTTTTACCATGCGCACAATAGCTCTTTCTTCGCGAATGGTGTGCTTCTTTAGACAATATGTTCACAGTTTGTTTTATGCCAGCTTTCTTCGTGCCTCCGCGTTTCCACGTTTCTCAGCCCCTCTCCTTTCTCCGAGGGTTATTGTTTCCCTTTCTTTCCCAAATGTATATCGTTGAACAAGTTTTCTTGCAGTTAGTTAACTTAAGCCCCTGTGTTCACGCCTTCCCACCACCCGCCCCCTTTTTCAATTTAACCATTACGTTACACTTTCGCGAAATTACTTTCTTATCCTTGCTTTCTTGCGAACCGGCGTTTTCGAGAAGAGCACCGGATACGCAGTAGTGCAGGCCGCATTTGAATGAAAGATAAGTGTTGGCTAATTTTATTCATTGCTATCCTTTCCGGTTTCCCATGCTTTTCGGTGAATTATTAACTAGCGTGGAGTTTCGCGAAAGTCTTTTGGAAGAATATTTTTCTAAGGGGTTCAGCGTTGTTTTAATCGTTTTCGGTGGTTGGAGGCGACCGCAGATAGTAGACGTGTGAAGCATAGGAGGTCGTGAGTCAGATACAATTGATGCATCGTATTTAGAAGTAGTTTTGATAAAGAATAGCAATAAATAACGATAACGATTTTAGTTACGGCTCCAAAAGCTTACGAACATCGGTTCTATTTTGACTCTATATCGGTTACAGTAAGAGTTCTATGTAGTATGTTACAATGTCACAAAATCAGGAGAATCGATTCAAGATCTGAAATAGGTCTGAATAGAACCGACATAAATATCGCAAAAGCTACTATAATCTAAGCGAAGCCAATATATGTACGAATATTTTTCAAAACTGTTGTTAATGCTTGTTGGACCATTTTAAACCCTCATTTCTTATTCTAGTTATCCCTTTCAAAACCACGAACCTAATGGTGAATGATAGATAACGATATGATATTTCGGAAATATTATAAAACAATTTAAAAGTCGAACTAATTAATCAAAAAGCATCTTTGCGAAGATTAAAAAAAGACATTACAAAAGCGAGATTCGAAACTTTAAAATATGCATAGTCATAAATTCAATGCAAAGTCAATAGTTGGATATAAAAAAAAAAGAATGTTGCAATGAAAAAGAATGTTCAATACGCACGCAATCGACACGACACTCTCGTACCGACCTAACAGAATAATTGAATGCATTTTTACGAACATTCTGTCAGAGGAAATAGACATTCACCGACTATTCAGAGTTTTAGAAGTACTCAGTTTTTTAAACTATTTCACATAGCAATATTGAAAAATCATCGATAAACTATTCAAATAATGTTTAATCGTGACTTCAATCTCGTTGCTAATACTGCTACGTAAATTATCATTTACGTAGATGAGTAATTTCATAAATAATTTCGAGTGATATAATTACAAATCTAGTACACGGAGAATTCAGCTTTTCTTATATTAAGATCTCACAAATCAAAGATAAAAATTGAATATTATGTGCTACATTTTTCATTACTGGATTAATACGTCTGACTAAAATTTTGTGGAATTTATATGTCGAAGAATTTTGTTATTTACTAAACCTGAGAAACTATTTGTACAATTTCCTCTCCTATTACTGAGATTCAGGATTTCATCTAAAAAATGTTTAAATTACGTAGAATCAACATTAAAGCAAATTCAAACGACCAAAACTTAAGTAGTAGAGTTTAAGTAATTAATAATATAGCGAGAAACTTCGTAACTAGAAAACGACCTATAACAACTTCTTTAACATGGATAGATTAAATAATTTGTCTTCAAAAAAATATATGAAAGAAAATATCTATCAAAAAGTCGAAGTGAGTTGAAAACACCGATAAGAAACCGAGACGATCTAGTATTTACGATGAACGATTTATAAATAACAATAATTAAAAATAAAATACCGATATCAACTTTCAACGTTTACACGAACTCATTAACAGGAACAAAACAAGGCGATTCGAGGAAAACACTTTCGTGTACGCTTGAATTAGTGACCACAATTAATAATGCACAATCGATTCGACTTATCGCGCTATTTATCTACACGTACGCAAATCTAAACGACTGGATGTGACAAATTTCTTCTTCGAAGAGAATCGATGTGTGTTTGTAATTTCGGACGATACTATACGACACTATATGTTTACTACTAAACTATTGATCTGTTATGTGAACCTAATACTAAATAACAATAATTAAAATTTTATAATAAAAATAATCTGATATATATAATTACATTTCTATTCCAATAAAACTCAACATCAATTATGTCAAAAATAGCTTTATGAGTTTTATAACTTTAAAACAAAAAGTCTAAAACTGATAAACATTTTGACTAGTTCAGTAGCTCTAATGTTAGTTAGCACTTTATAAATATAGTACATTCTAACACTAGAAGTACTAAATATGATATAATAATTATCTATACCTGATTAGTTTTATTATATTTTTCTATTCTGTATTCTGTATTCAGTATTCTATATTTCTAATCTGATGAAAATCAACACAAATTTCATCAAAAGCTGCTTTACGTATTCCATAACTGCAAAACAAAAGATTTAGAATTAGTAGTCATTTTGACTAGTCCTGTAATTCTACTTCTAATTCTAATAATTCTACTTCTAATGAGACTGTACTATATTGGAAGAATACTATAACTCAGGTCACGTCCACCTCGGTAAACGCAACTTTTCGGATCAAGATAGAAAATTTCCTGGGATTGAAAGCAACGTCGCTTGGATGATATCAATTCCTTTTTTCCTCTCTTTTCCTCTTCCTCTCTTTTTTGTTTTGTTGCTAAAAATAGAATCATAGCCGAGCAAATAGAATGATACCAATCACGGTATTGTCGTGATAACGCGATTGTCCGTTATGAAGTTTTGGAACCCTCGCCAGACCCTCCTCGCCGCACCGCCCCCTTGTGATTTCATCGGGACAGATTTCGACCAGATGTTTCTACCAGGACGACACACCGATGACTTCTCAGTGGAAATACAGAATTCGTCGCTTCGATGACGGAGATACCAGTTTCAGGAAAAAACTCGCTTCAGAAAATTAAATTATACATCTACGTGTAACCACCTAAAAAGAAAAATAATTTTGCTTTCTTAAATTTTTATATTCGTATCTTGATTATTTTTAATATTTTTCTAATATCATTCTAAAATACCTAATATCCTAAATTTCAAACTTTTCAGTTTATTGTAATTGTAAATTTTACTCTTCAGAAAAATTGAAAATAATGACTCAAAAATAAATTGTCCGAATAAATTCACTCGCTTTGAAACGTACAGATTTCCCACCTCACGATAGACGATTATGAATAGAAATATTTTTCCTTACTCGCATTTTGATTCTCCCTCTGAAAGATACAGCTGATATCGAAGAACAATATATATAAAAATGTCGCCACGTAAGTGCAGAACGAAAAGGTGCAAATCTATGACGACTGCTGGGAAAAGTTAAATCTGATATATCGATATTGGTGTCAATGTTTATTACGGAAGATCGAATGGAAAATTGTACTGTAGGATTCAGAATATCCTGACCCGAGACTGCCTGCATATAAAGTATCTTATATTCCCTACATTTGTATATTTCAACCAGCAATATTTAATATAAATCATTAATTTCACTGAATATTTAAAATATAATTCTAAACCTTAAATCTAATTTATTTAGTTTAAAATTCTAATTAAAAAGGAGCCACTCCTATTTAATGAAAAATAAAACTCCGTTGAATTAGCATTATTATAATAAAAATGATACTCTCCTAGTAACTGATAGTAAAAAGGTGAATGTGCGTTTTCCATGATTTTCGTCTCGTTCAAAGTTACATTCCTCTTCCTTTTTACCGGCAGTTTGCTTCTTACTTTACGGGATCCTTTTCTTGGAAAGTACGCGGTATATCAAAGCTCCTTTATCCCTGTTCGTCGCTTGGCTATAGAGCTATAACTTACGATATACGGAACGTCCGTTCAAACAGTTATTCCTAATGTCTACGTTACGTATGGGTAAATACAAAAGTATTATAGAAGTATGATATAATGTTTCTATTCGCATCAGAATAAAAGTTGTCTCCCATTGTTTCGAAAAGACATTATAGCCAGGCTCGTACCGTTTTTCGAACAGCCTTACGACTCTCTAGCTTTACTCTTCGTGAATTTCAGTTCAGTTATGCCGCGGACGAAATCACACGTAATATTAACTTAGCTTCTGGAGAAAGAAGTTAAAGAAGTTAAAGAAAACTCCGCGCGTTTTCTTCCAGTAATATCAGCCTCGAAAATGAAGGAAAAAGCGAACTCACGAAGAAACAACAAAAATTTCTAAAAGTCAGAATTTTATAGAGACAAATACTAGAATAACTATAGAACATTAGGAAAAGACAGAGTTTCTTTGAGATGATGAATATTTAAATCAACCGAACTAGTAAAAAATTTACACATACTTTTGCTTCAAAGAAATAAGTATCTCGTATATACTTACGCTAAATGAAAAAGACAAAACATAAATCTCTAAAGAAACGAAGAAAATGTATAACCTCCTTCTCGAATCTTACATGAATGAGCTGTAAATAAATAAATTATTTTTCAAACGATTCGTGTTTCGAGCAATTTCGTTAAAATATAAAAGTGATAGCAATATGGCCGCAGAATGGCGCGCGCAGCTTATGCGTTAGTAATACAAAACGTGTCGACAGATACCTGGAAATTAGATTTTTATTTAGCTGCCTGCCACAACATTCGAGATTCATCGTAATTTCTCACTTATATCCAATATGACTGATCGATTTGACATCGGCCGACCCTTCCGCCACTGATAAAACATCGCTTGCAATAATGACAGATGGAGATTTTCTTTCCTCTTCCACGTAGCATGAGCCTACGTTTATTCGTCGCCGTCCTAGTTTAACAAACGCGTTACGTTTCTCCGCGCCATCTATATTTATATGCGGATCAGCCTTTCGAAGGCTCGCGAAACGCACATCGGTTTCACCTTCTCATCGATTATCATCTCCGTGAGATATTAAAATCCCTCTGTCAAACGTTTCTCGACGACTGAATTCTTCACAATGGGATATAGTGTTGTATTATTACGACACAATTTATGATATTTTATATCTCGGAATTTCTTTTTATATTTATAAATAAAAATTTTACAAAATAATTTTTAATGTTATACGGATCAATTAGATTTCTTCATATGATGATAAATTTTGAAATTTCTTCGAAATTTTCTTCAAATCACAATTATTTTTACACAAATTTTTGAACTGCATTCCGAAATATTTTTCTTTTCCTCTATTATCACTAAATGTAATAATAATTTTTGAAATAAATGTAACACATCCATGACACGGTCCAGTGTCAACAGAAAACTGTTTATCGATCGTCGGTATCTACCATAACCATATATGTCAAACAGTAAAAATATAGGTTATTCAAAAATTTTGTATGTTTTAAATTCTATTATGATAGATATAAGCAAAGCTAATATTTAGAAGTAATTTCCTCTTCTTGAAGCACGATGTATTTTAGATATATTTAATTTTGAAACAATTATAGATGTTCGTAAAATCCTGAGAGCTAATAAATGAAATACAGCCACGTGAATAACGAAGATGAAAGAATTTAATGCGGTATTTATTACACTCATTCTGCGATCCCGATCATAATTTTTAATAAATACATATGTATTAAATGGTTCAATTATTCTTTGTTACATTCAATCAATATGATATCCATTTCCAATATTCCACTTGCACAATTCAGAAACGAAGAAATAAAAGTAAAAATTCGTACAAAAATCCAGGTACATTGAATGAAACATACACGAGACGATATTTTTGATCGAAAAGAATTTTATTTCGACAACTGTCGGTCATAGCACATGATTTACCGTACGTGTGAGTGTGTGAGAGGGCCTTCACCTTCTTCACGTTTTCTTTCCCTCGCTCGTGGTACGTAATTTCTCTTTCTTCTATTTATCATGTATACGTTCAAAAAATGTGTAATCATGGAAATATAGGTACGCCTAGGTTCTCTAAAGGTTCACCTGTATGCGCGTTCTTCTTCTCGCTTCTCTCTCGTAAAATAAAAGTAATATTTTTTTTTTGTTTGTTTGTTCTGTTTAGTATTTTCTGCTATCGTGTTACCGCACCGTAGACGGAGGAGTTAGTTTCTCTTGCGACACTAAATTACACATTTGTACATCGTTAACATCCCTTAAAACTGGTTTTTCCACTCATATCTTTTTTCTCGCTCACACACTCTTTTCCTCTTTCTCTCACGGCTTTTCTTGTTCGAGTTCACTTTAAACATTTACAAACTAGGATATTCCGTGCCCCTTTTACAAGGTACGCGCGCGCGCGCGCACACACACACACTCACGCACACGCGCATATGCTTATACACTCTTATTTGTTTCGCACTCTTCTCTCTTCCCTTCCGCATTTATTAATTGGGCTTTTAGCAATTACCGCGGGAATTATCCTTTCAACCGCTTTCTCTTAGCCCACGAGTGATATATCTGATATGCATGTCATGTCTGATATGCACCAATCTGAACTGCCGGAAGTTCTGGGAGGGATCGAGGTTGAGTTGAATCCTAGTAACAGAATACAAGATGTCAAACGCGAATTTCACGAGGCATGATTATTCTTTTTATCATTCGAGAAATAAAATACCTGCTTTTTATCAGGTTTTAAAGATATCGTAACAGGAACAACCCATGGCAGTACGACAGACAATTCTTCATGAGTCGCGTGTTCAAGGTGTTCGTTGAAACGGTCGTTAGGCAGTTCATCGTTAGTACGGGAAGCTTAACCTTACTTTTCCAGGAGATATTCGGTTAAACGATAGGGACGATAAAGAGGATCGTTTCTATAAAAAGGAATTAAACGAGAATGTCACACGAATATTCAGAAGTCTCATTCTCATTATCGTAAAATGACTGTATGTATGAAAATTGTATATCACATTAAAAATGATCACTTATTCGACCAAACGTGTATATAAATATTATCCATTTGCGCCATCTGCGGCTTTCTTCGTAAACTGACACATTACCGAACGAAACGAAATCACTGCATTGCATTTCAGCATTTTTAATCGATCTTTGAACACCGTTTGAAATTTTTTCACCAACGATTAGATTACGATTAGATTACGAATTGGATACTCGAATAATTACCTATATGCGACAGTAAATTTCATCGTTATTAACGTAAACATCGTGATTGGAAAATAAAGAATTGCATAAAACGTGTTTCGTAAACACTCTCGATGTGACGATAACATATGAGTGTTTGATGATTTGCACGAAATCAAACAGAAAGACAAAGCCTGGTGAAATTAATTTAACACGCTTATCAGATGTGTTCAACAAACAGCTTCGAAATGCATTAAGAACACCTATAGAATCGCCAAGTGTGCGTGACAGTATTATCGTACGTTACGGTCATACGTTACTTTCATAGCGGCAATGTTCTCGATGTTTTTTATCGTTACATTCCTTTGATTTCCCTGTACGCATCCATCTATGTATATCCGCACAACTCACTCTATATAATACAACCACGTATGTATATGCAAAAGCTATGGAACACCAAAAAATAACTTGTTTGTTTTTCTCTCGTTTCGTTCGCACACGCAATAAAACGCACACATACGACACTCACGCACACGTAATACACACGGTATCCATGAATACATCCACTTTCCGACATATTTTTTGGTAACCCCCTCAATATTAGAAATAATGTATTGCTGGTAATCGTTACAGAAAGAAAGTCGACGCGTCTTCGAGTTACGTGATATCGAATATCGAATATCAAACAGGAGAAACATGCTTGCTGCTTTCCTGCGTAATTAATCCCGATCGAACACCCGACGTTCCGTGATTCTCGCACATTCATAAATTTCAAGCCATCTAGACGCGAGACGATCGTATTATGCCTCGATCGGTAAAAACACGTGACCTATATATTTCGAATATATATATATAAATATGTAACTTCGCCATGGAAATACCTCGTACAAGAAAGAATTGTCTTTTCCTTCCATGAAATATAACACCTTGCTTGAACATGTATCAAATAACACAAGTCTGGATGAACGCCACGATATGAAAGGTTACGCAGTCGTCAGAAGGAAGAAGTTTCTTTTTGAGAAAACGTCGGTAATGAAGATCAAGCCGCCGGTAAGACTATTACTTATTCCTCCGTTGGGAGCAATAAAAGTCTGGGCGTCAAGTTCTTTAATAAAAGAAGAAAAAAAAATAAAAGAGAGAGGCAAAGAGCAGAAAGGAACTTTGCGAACTGTTGAACTTTAGAAGGGCTATTTACTTCTCGATAGCTCGGAAGCATTAAATCGTGTGAATGTTCTTTGGTTTTAACTTCGATTCTCCCGCTATGTCACGTGGTATGGGCTGGAGAAAAATAACTTACACTGCGCAACTAAAGCAAATATAAGTTTGAGAACATTTAATTATAACTTCTAACACCGATTATCACTGTTTTAATTTTCGAAATTGATTTCATAAAAAGTACTACATTTTATGTTGCCTTTTATGTCACATTATTTTCGTAATTACTCGATGCTAATGGCATAAAATAAATGATGTTTTCGCATGATTTTTAACGTTGCGATATTTATTCGCGAGAACGGATTACGAACGTATTAACAATATATCGTATACGAGCAATCTAACGACACGAACTCGCAACTGCTATATCAACCGAGACACGAAACGCTTGCTAATTAAATTTATTGAATTTACGCCTGAACTGAATCCTGGTCGAAGGAAAGCATGAATAAAGCGCGAAAAGAGACATCAGGCAATTAAGGTAGTCGGCATTGCAAACTGTTCGATATACAGGATTTGCTTAATTACTTCGCCTAATTACTTTGTATTGCTATTTCAATGCCGACTTGGTCTCTTCGCTTTGAAGTTCGTTTCTGTATGTACGATGTCTTGCAGAAATTTGTTTCGACGATATACATACAGACGTCTTTATGAATGTATGTATATAACAGTTTTCTCTACACTATTAGCTAACATTTAGATATCGAAACAACTATGTAACGTATACATTAAGATACCGACTGTTATGGAATACTGAATTTAAATATATTGAGTATTTGTTACGCAAAATACAATAATTTTAAATCAACTATTTAAAGCCACAGAATATTTTTCGATTGAAAAATAAATAGGAATAGTAATCGATTCTAAGATATACGCAATAAAATAGTCTTCTATCATTTATTATTATAAAATTCTGTTAATATTTATTTCCTAGCTTAAATATTGTCTGAATAATTTTGTCATTAAAAATTTTGTAAAATTCATATTCGTTAAAAAATATACGCATTATTTCCATTTATATAATCTACTTAAGTTTCTCGTTAATTTGTATATAAAATATTTAATTACCTATTAATATCCAAATACCATTACTGTTCAAATACACACCCACGAAATTATGTATTAATATTCAAACCTAATCGAGAAAGAATCATTTATTTAAATGCATTTTCCTTGCATCACCTATATATAAAAGTGAAAAATAAAGCTGAAATAAGAGTCCACGAAATCGAATTGACGTTGAACAGTAACAATTCGTCGAAACTTTTTTAGGTCAATACCGGTATAAATCAATTTGTCATATTTCCCCACAAAGTTCATAACTGTCATAGCGTTATTGAGAACACTCGAAAAATGAAAACTCACAGATTTTATGATAAAAAGTAATGGTTACCAAAGTAAATGGATTACGAGTTTTTCGATCAGTTTTCGAGACAAACTAACATGGTTGATACACCTTGCAGTGGTGGACGTAAATTTATAACAAACTAAGAGGAACTGATACCATC